CGTCCGGCGCGCGGCAAACCCTCTCCCCCCTCTCTAGTTCCGCCTCGCAGAGAACCCGGCCGTGGTGGCGCGGAGCAGCGTGGGAGAGGAGGCTGGTGCAGAGGTCGATGCTTGCGCCTGACTCACCGCTTGAAGCCGGCGGGCGGGAGATTTAAAGATGGAGAAAGGCTCTTTGCACAGACAGCAGGTCAGCTAAGCTGCAGGACTCACATGGGACGGAAGGGGGAGCTCGGGCAGAGACTATGAGCAAGACTGATGCTGATCTCTGGGTCCTGAAAACGTAGAAGCCTCTCAACTTCTCTGATCCCTGAGCCAACTGTATCTCTTCAACCCTAAACATACAGAATCCATTTAAAGATGGAGAAAGGCTCTTTGCACAGACAGCAGGTCAGCTAAGCTGCAGGACTCACATGGGACGGAAGGGGGAGCTCGGGCAGAGACTATGAGCAAGACTGATGCTGATCTCTGGGTCCTGAAAACGTAGAAGCCTCTCAACTTCTCTGATCCCTGAGCCAACTGTATCTCTTCAACCCTAAACATACAGAATCCTAGAGCCCAGTCCCTGCAGTCCGTGAATCCGGAAAACCTCTTAAACCTAATCCCTTTGAACCCCACTCCTTTAGAGTAATCTCTGAAATCTTGGCTCCCTAAAACTCCCGAAGCCAGTAGCTGTCCTTGATTCATAGTATGATTGTAGTTTGTCTTTCTCTTGCACTCTCAGGGTGTCCCGAAACACAGCTATTAACACCTGACATAAAACATAAATTAGTGGCAAGTACTAAGGATATGTGGAGGTGGAATCAGACGACAATCTCCAAAGTGCAGAAAGATTTGAGGGAGGAAGGAGTTTTCAAAATGTCTAGAGGATTAATACATTTGCATGGAGAAACTCTTAATTATCTGATTATGAAAGATTCTTAGACTCCCAAGGATGAAGTCTGGCCCCATTCTAGTAAATGGGAGTTTTATCTGTAATGTAAATAGGTCCACTCTTTCACTGTAAGTATCAAAAGAACATTTTCTTTCAACTGCTCTTTTAACCTATTCAAACAATTCAAGTTCTCCCTTGAAGGCCTTTCTGAAATTAGTTAGCAATTTTCAAAGTGGCTTTCTGAAATTAAGCCACTGAAGAGATCAAATTTGAGCTACTGATTGAAACATGTAGGACCTGACTCCACAATAATTCAAGTGTATACTATCTGGCTATGTCTACACTGGCGCAATCTTGAGCCAGGGATATGCAAATGAGGCTAAGTGTGGAATATTGCTGAGCCTCATTTGCATATCTAATGAGCCACCACTTTTACAGAAGAGGCTCTTGCGCCAGAAGGAGCTGTCTACACTGCCCCTTCTTGCGCAAGAAAAACCCTCTTGCGCAATGCTGTTATTCCTGAGGCAAGAGCCTCTTCCGCAAAAATGGCAGCTCATTAGAGAGGCAAATGATGCTCGGCAATATTCCACGCTTAGCCTCATTTGCATATCTCTGGCGCAAGATTGCACCAGTGTAGACATAGCCTCTGTGCTTAGATAATTGACGGCTGCTTTGTGTCATATAATTCTCTATTCCCTTTAACTTGACTGGCATACAAATTCTTAAACTCTGCAGCTGGATCAACACTGAGGTATAAGTATTCAAAGTATAGGTTAGATAAATGTCTGTCAGAGATGGTCTAGAGTACTGGGTCCTGCCATGAGGGCAGGGGACTGGACTCAATGACCTTTCGAGGTGCCTTCCAGTCCTAATATTCTATGATTCTATGAAAGTTGGCTTCCCTTCCCCCTCCATGAAAGGCTTTCTGCTGTAATGCTATCTTCTTTTTTAAATATAAAAATGGAAGAATTAATGGAAACGTGCAGGATTCTTCAGCTGAAATGCTAATAATTGAAAATAAAGAATTTAGCACATAAGTTTAAATAGAGTTTCTCTGTATTCCTTATGTTATTAAACAAAAATCAGCTATTCGTTTTGATGATGGTTGAGTATTCTAGGTCTAAATGTATTTGACATGGCTGAAATAATAGACATTCTTTTTGTAAATGACTGTGCTTGAATCAGTTAATGGCCAGGTGAGCTGACTTCAGGCTGCCACCATACCTCTTTAAAAAGCTTCCCAGTAGGGGAGGGTGGGGAGAGTGGAGAAGGAGTTTTGAGAATAACTAACTATTGATAAGGAGAATCAGAGGAGCCAAGCAGAGCAACATCAGCACTGCCAAAGACTGCAGGGAGAAGTGAGGGGCTCTGACAGAGAGTGTTTGGAGGTTCCTTTTTCCCCAGATGGCCAGAGATTTCAGCCGGTGGCTGAAGAGGACTATTTACTCAGCCCCAACTGGCCAGGAGCATTGGTCCCAACACCCCTTCCTTTTTTTTTTGGCCAAGGGATAGAAGCCCAAACGCTGAGAAAAGGCAAGTTGGACTTGTACCGTGGCTCCTAAACTGTAGGATAGTAGGTGGAACAGGGGTCTGGGACCCAGGAGTGGGACTGATCCTGCCAGAATATACATACTTTGACATACCTATGGAATTGTGTATTCATGTAAAATTTGTGGAAAGAAAAAAGTTAAGAATGGAATTCCTATTATAAGCATACATTCTTTGGAGCATATGTCAGACAATAATTGGTAGTGCTTAGGGAAGAACTTGGCCTACAGTGAGGTCATCCTATTATCTGCTAAATGGTATCTGGCTTCTTTTGATGAAGCATCTGGTACAGGCCACTGTGAGAGTTCACAGACTAAACTAAATTGACCACTGGTTTGGTATGTCTCTGACTCCTGGACGTAAATCATGGCTTTGTGTAAATCAGTGTGAATTATGCCACAGTGGAACTAGGATTTCACCCCTGAATTTTAATACCAGAACCTCGCACTGGATAGTCACCAATAAATAGGGCATAAATACCTATTCAGACAGGACTTCAATTGAGATAAAACTTTAGTCTTTTCATCTCATGATTTTTGTACAATTCCAAAGCTTTTATTGTGCAAAACAGGATAATACATTAATGGAAATATGCTACAAGCATTAACAGTGAGTGTGATAAATATTCTGCTTAGGTCACTCATGAAAAAGTAAAAACAAAAATCAGATTCTTTCAACCTCACAACATTGCATATTATTAATAGGGGAAGAGACAGGCAGGCCCAGGAGGGTAGACTAGATTGGGTGTTTTTATCTCTGATTTCAATGATTTTCTGATGCTTAAAACTATGAAAAATATAGGGACAATCAAAATGTTCCCCTACAGAAAGTAAAAATTCCCTAGTGTTGATAAAAATAATGTAAAGAATAGTTATTCACCAAACATTTTTGTTTATGAAATAACTATAGAGAAAATGATATTGTAGTAAAATCAATTATATAAGCATCAACTACAAAGGTAATGAAATATATCTTGTGTCTAGACATAGTTACAGTTTGTATTGGCAAGTTTATCTCTTCATACAATTATATAATGATGTATGTGGTAGCATAAAGTTTCACATTGGGTACTGAATAAACAATTATAGGGATATTTACCAAGTGCTGGTAATTCAGAGACCCATATGGTTTTATATGATTAAAAATGCAAAGTATACCTCATCTGTTGCCCTGATCCTGAAAACACTTGCACATATGTAGT